TGTAATAATTTATTCTGTTTTGGGAGTGTTTTTTTTATGTATCTGTATAACCTTAATATACCCATAATGCAAAGCAAATTACAGTAATTAACTGTAGAAATGTTTTCAGGTAAGTTACTGGGCATTTTGTGGTATTTTACTGTGAAAAATACAGCAAAGGTTAACAGTGTATATTATACATACACATTAAAAGTGAATCTCTGTCCAAAAAATGCACTCAGTTTGCTTTTTACTCACTATGTGCATAATTCATTATTCTCCCCCAGTAATTAAGGTTAGGATATGTACTTTTTTAAAATTCCAATCCATTCTTCTTTTGCAGCATTTAAATAACCTTTATCAGATTTGATGGTTTTGTTACAGACTTTTCAAAAAAAGTGTTTTGCTTTTCTTTCACAAATGTGGGGATTAAATTGTGTTAAAATGTACAAAACAGTGATGTCATGTTTTGAGACGAGGACCCAGGGACAGGGAGACTTGATGAATTTAAGAATTATATGATTTATCTTGCCTGGCTGGGCAGCTCTCTGGGTGCTCAGCACCCCCCAAAGCTCTAATCCTAGAATCGCCTCTGCTTTAAATCATATAACGTGTGAACTAATAAGCCATTAAAATAGGATTTAAAGTTTTTTGCTTATATGAAAAGTCTATATATTATTTATTTTATTATTATTTATTATTATTATTATTGCAACTATTGTTACAAAACATCGCAAAACAATAATCCAAACCGTAAACTCCTCGTTTCTACTCAAGGTGGCATTAGTGAAGTGGCGGTGTGGGCACACTTTTACCTCCATTTGGGCCGCAAACACGAGCTCGACCTCACTCAATGTTCCGCACGCGCGCGCACCGGTCACCTCTCAGCAGTCAGGCTCAGCTGCAGTGAATGGAAGCGAGGCGCGCGCACGCAGAGATCACTCGCCCTTGCTTGTTATTAACGTTAATAACGTTATCTCTCGCGTCACTCATGTCCCCGGCGACGACGACGGCCGCCGCAGCAGCCGAGGAGCGGAACGGGAACTGCGGTTCAGGTGCACCGCTGTGATTGAAATACGCGGAAGTTTTGACGCCACCGAGCAGAAAGGAGATGAGCACACCGCTCAAAGGATAGCCCCCGCCCCCCTCCTCCTCCGCTCCCCTCCCTTCGGTTTGTGGACAAGTGTTTATCCGCTGCGAGGCGAGAGCTCGGTCCGTGATGGGATTCCTTCAGGAGCGACCTGCCGCCTATCGTTAACCCCTCTGGAGGTAAGGAGTGAAGCCAAACGACGGTTAACTAACAAAAGAGACCCGGTGGGGTGTCGGACGGGAGCAGCTTATACGAGAAGTGCTCCGTTTTGAGTTTGTGCTGGCGAAAGTTGACTACAACATCCCCGTCGGTTAGTTGGCAACTAAATATGGATGTCAGTTATTTGTAACGCACTCGGGAGAAGTCGTGTGTCCCGTGAAGCGAGGCTGTTTCCTACATGTAGCGACTTGACACCCCCTCCCTGCCAGCTCCACACATTATCGCTTCTTTAACCATTACCATCATCTCCGGTGCTGTTCGGGCACAGCTGTGAAGGCGGTCGACGCACGCAAACTTGTGGTGAGTAAGTGAGCGCAAACGGGACAGACAACAAGGCTGCCATTGTACCGGATCAGCGGCGGATTAACGGAATTCCTTTTCTCTGCTCTGCACTGTCTGAATGGCCTCCAGCCTCTCTCTCAGCCTGCCCGCCTGCCTTCGTGTCACAGTGGGTCTAACATCTTGATTTCTAACCACTCTCACCCCTTGCACTTGTTAGAAACAGTGAGCTAAAACACCCACCGAGCCTCCACACCACAGAGGCCTCAGTGAAACATGTGGATGGGCCACTTAAACTGTATTGTTATCAGGAGAGGACTGATGAGTAGGGTCCAAAAGTCAAAAAAATGGTGTGTGTTTTGCTTCTTTTTTCTGACCAGTAGTACCAAACAAAGCAAAAGAAACAAAAAATAGCTCACAATAATCTATAACAAAATATAATTGAAACTTTTAACCTTTTATAAAGATTGAGGCTGATTTAGCACTCAAACTGGATTTCAGCTGGGCTAAGCAGGAGGAGCGGTCCCAATTTTTGTCAGAAAGGGCCTTGGAGGGTGTTGTTTGTCTACCCCTGCCTCAAAAAGCTCTTGTCTTATGACTGATCATGCACAGCATAGCACTGAATGATAAAGATTGTTATGTGGGTGCTTAAAAGTCTTATTTACATCCCACAGAGAGTAATATTGGTTTGTCTTTTATAGTACTCACAGGCAACAAACAAATCCAGGTCTAGATTTTAATTTAAATTTTTTAATATGTTTTACTCCCCCCCTCCCTCTTTGCACTTGCACATCATGCACCATCTCCAGCCCTCCCCTCCTCCCCTAGAGTAACCAGCCAACATGTGGGGAGGTAATCCCAGCTATTAGGGTAATCTCCTCAGCATGGCGATCAATAGGGGAGGGTGTGCGACAACTACCAGACAAGACTAGTGGGGGGGACAAAATTTGTGCTAAAGAAAAAATGATTTAATCATCTAGATTAGGTCAGGAGGCCGGGGGTCTGGACAGAGGCTTGTTGCTGGAAGGGGGAGGGGTGCAGACAGCGCAGGCAGGAGGATGTGAGGGGTCAGGCCATCTCCACTTTGGGCAGCACCCATTGTGATAGTGGGCTGAAAGTAGGGATGCAGTGATTGGGAAATTCTGTGTGGAAATTGTGTCGAAAATAAGACACTTGTTAAATAAGCAGTGCCCATGCTAATGTTTTTATGTAATAACCTGTTTTGTGGTTGCAAAACAAAGGCAATTGTTATTGTAAGGGAAAATAAGCACAAACACAAGTTTTAAAATGGGTGGTAATAATCATTTCAATTTCCTTTCTTTTTAGTGGGCAGCACTTTAATCTGGGGTGAATGTCAATGACCTCATCAAATGAAAATGAAGCTTCTTAGTCTTTAAATTATTTTTACAAACCTCAGTTTACAATAAAAAAAATCCCTGAAACCATTAAACCGTTGTTCCCTGTGAATCCAGCATGAAGCAGTAAATACTCAGCATGTTTTCATGTTTCTGCTTTGTGTCTCAGTGACACCAAAAGAGAAATAAGATGACAACCTCCTCGAATCTACAAAAAAACAAACAACAAACTTCAGTTGTAGTTTTTGTTTGATTGGTTTTTTTTGCATTCAGCGATTGATTGAAGTGGTTGTGTTACCAGTTGGTCGCCCACAGGCTGAGTGTGCAACATCCTCAACCTCTGGGTGGCCACTTTCGATCATAAGGCTATTCCTGGAGACAGGCAACCCGTCTCCAATAATTTGCCGTCTAATTGCCAACACTGATGAGGGAAACTCCCATTCAACACGTGTCTTTGCAATAGGGCACCCGACGCAACTAGTTGTATTCAGGTTATAATTGTAATTTTTCAGATTGATCACAAACTGCCTACCTAACCCAGTCTTTGAAACAGCCATTTCAAAGGCAGTAAAATTCCAAGTTCACTGCACCTGGTCTCAGTACTTTTGGTCGTGCGGCAAACACTTCAACCAGTTTCCTGTAGTGTTGTTAAAAAAAAAGTCATATTAACACAAATGGCCAAACATGAGCTGCAGTGCTGCTGTTGATCACAACTTCTGTTATCACTTACTGTTTTCATACAGACACTCTCCGCTCCAAATGTTTTAAGCAATCCAGATCATGCAATCATGTAACTTTAAACCATCTTTGACAGATTTCCTCGTCCCTGAGGAAAAAGTGGCTTTAGTCAATTTATTTCTCAGTGTAACATCTATAGTAGGTGTAACAAGCTTTCAGTTATGTTTAACATACATGCAAATCACAGTGGAGTTAGTTTTTTCAGAATGAAACAACTAAAAACCCCTAAAAAAGAAAACAAGTTCTGAGTGGGTTAAACACAGGAAACTGAGCTTTACACTTAGACGTAAAAACATCTGCACTGTTCAGTGGGCCAAATGTCTGCAGCGGGTGAATCTGTGGCTAAAAGGCGTACGCGTTCTTGCTGAGTGTGCATCCTCTCTTTTGATGTGATTACCTAACAGCACATCATACAGATGGATCACATGCTGCATTCAGAGCATGTGGTGGTGGTCACATTACCTGGGCCTTATGTAAACAGATGAGAAACATCATCCTACAGAAAATCTTTAGGGACAAGCTTAAGCATTTAAAATTTAAGCAAGTAAATCTACTCAAATTGCAATTTTTTCCTAAACAAAAAAAGAGAATTATAAATGTAAAATATTTAAACATGCTTTTTCTTTTCTTTTCTAAAGTTCAAAGTTTTAACTTTTATAACGTGTTTGCTAATTTTTCGACACCAAATTAATAAATCAGGAAATTTGTCTTCTAATTACAAATGAAAAATATTCATATTTATGTTAAAAAAAATTCTGAAAATGTAAATGTAAAACAAATAGAATTTTCTTTAGGAGCTTATTGTGATCAGTTCTTTGGAGCAACACTAATTTAGCTACTGCGTCATTTTTTACAAAACCACAAAGCAGTGTTTCTTTATTTTAGCACAATTAAGAATTGAATGGGCGGAGAACATTTATAGTTTTTGATGATTCATATAGGTTCCTCAATAAAGAAAAGAAAGAAGAACATGGCCTTTAAGTCTCCGGTGGAGGAACTGGAGTGCAGACACTGGCAGATGGAAGATGGGAGGGATGAGTAAGGCGTTCACAGATCCCTTCTGTTTGGTCCCATTGAGACCAATGAGACGAGATTGGATGGGTCTGGAGGAATCAGGTTACTATCGGCTCATTCTATTCCAAAGAAGTGGTGGTGTAAAAGATGCAATACCCCTATGGGAAACCTAATCCAGACCCTCCTGCCAGCTGTCATTCTTTTGCTCCAGGGTAAAATCGCTAAGCAGGTATCCCCTTACGCTTTTTCAATCCTTACCTTAATCATCAGGAAACGGGAAATTACACACACATGTCGTTACAAATCATTATCTACTACGTAACTTGAGAATTATGATCTTTTACGCAGATAGAGATCAACATTAGATGTCAGGAAAAAGCAAAACCAAAGCAACTTCAAGTACGTTTGATTAGAAATATCAGCTTTAGCATTTTGTATTTATTTTAGTTAAAATTATGTCAAATTTCTTTCTGATTTGCAGGGGAGTGATTCAGCCTCCTCAGCCTCTGATGCACTTTTTGCATGCAGACATTAATTCTGACTGCAAACCTGTCATAAAAATAATATTTACTGTACAGTTAAAGTGGCTGTGTCCATTATTTGGGCTCAATCTTCATTAGTCTGAGGATCAACTCGAGCTAAAGTTTATCTCCAATTTAAGATGCATAAGATTACAGTGACAGCCTCCTTTTTGGTGAACCTATTAGTCAGTCACCAGAAAAATAACTAGAAAATGATGATAATCATAAATAGGCTTAACAAAACAATAATACTTTTACATAATTTAAATCAACAAAACATTTTCTAATAAGTGTTCTGATTTACTGCTTCTCTTGGCCTTATTCTGTAGGCTTAATCTCCTTTAATCTGCTGTCATTTCTTTTACTTAGTGGCTTGACTCGCATTTAGGTGACAATGAAATCAGTGTCTTCGAATTTACACCTATGGACAGGAGGCCGAACGATGAGAGGAAGGCCGATAAAGTAAAACCAGAGTGATAGAGACATAAAGGGAGACAGTCGGAGTGAGTTTGAGTTGACCTTGCCATGATAATCTAATCCCTGTCGAGAGTGCTTTTTTTAGAGAGCAAGTTAATGCCAGCAGATTATACTCCAGTGTCTCCCACACTAGCCAATCCGAACCGAAAAGAGAGTGGGTACACAGTGGATCCTCAGGCCTACCATGGAGGATAAATCAACAGTAATAATAACCTATAGTAATTGAAAATAGCCCTAAAAATGACAACTCTTCATCTTTGCTTTTCTGCTCTTTAGTGGAGCTGCTCAGGTAGTTTCTGATGTCTGCATGAGACCACTGTGTATTTCTGCAGCAGGTAAAACCGCTGCCGTCTTTTCTCTGTCATGCCACGGATGCCCCCTTTTGTGCACAAAGGGGCATCCATGATAAAAGCCACTCATTGAGCAGCTCATCTCATGCAATGAAGAGTAATCCCTGTATATGTTGTGTAACCAAGTGGAGAGTTGCCCAAGGAGGGGGATGGGCACGAATGTGCGCAAGTTTGTCCGTGCTTGTGACTGTTGAGCTCATGGCTGTCTAATCTTTTAGGTACATTAGGCTGGTCGCCCACAGCGCCTTGCGACCTCACTGTTTTTGTGCAATTAAGTCATTCTAGGAACGCCATAGGCCCTGAATAATAACAGGAGTTGCTTGTGAGCTGTAAAAGGATAATCCAGCTGTGGTGGGATGGAGAGTTGTCTGGAAGGACTGAGCTGTGTACTTTTATCACTGTGTGTTGATCTTGTTTTGCCAGTTTTTTCAAGACTTCACTCTAATGAGGTTGTTCTGTGGTCACTAGGTTATTCTAAGACCTCTACTGCTGCATTCAGGCCACGCTGGCAGGATGGGAAGAAGCATGCCTGTATTACTCTGAGAAAGTCATTGTTAGCTCTGCAGTCACACCACGCAAGTGGAAAAATATCTTGACATTTAACATTTATATGATGACACATATTTCTTTATATTTTTATAGAAGGTATTTGACTGAAGGATAGAAGGAAGGCTTTTTTTAAAACACACTGATATTTCTTTTGTTAACTGGACGAGTTTGTATTCAAGGCAATATATCTGATGTCCAGTTGCTGACTTGTATTGGATAGTTGCTACACATGAAGTCATGCTTGCACCTAGAGTTTGTGTTGAGCCCACAAAACCTGTAAGAAATTATCTTAAACTAACCAGAGAAAAAAATGGTGAATTGACGAGTCTAAAAGACAGAAGACACCCTGACACAAAACTGACATACACCTGCTTGTTTCATACATCAGAGTACTGCACAACAGCGCCGGTTAGCATGGCTATCATCTGTTTACTTGTTCCCCTTCTCAGAGAGAGAGAGAGAAAGAAACTGGGACCTGCTGTTAAACATTAATAAAATAAATAATACATTTAATCCACTAGTATTTCTGGCATTAACTTGGAAGGGCAGCAATATTTAAATGTCTACTCAACTATTTATTGTTTTTTAACATTGACATTCAAAGTAAAAAATTATTATATCAATTAACCAGAAGCTGGCCCTTTTTGCTTTGAAGAGTAGGTAATCATAAAAGATCGATAAAAGATGGGCTTAGCTGCTGTGACATCACCTGATCTAAAGCCTTGAGCGTTTCTGCTGTCGCTTTCTTGGTTGCAGAAACTAAGATGGCTCGAGAAGGGGCGGGTCTGACTGTGAGACCACATGCTCAATGACTTGTGATTGACAGCTGCGAGTGTGTGAGTGTGTGGTTTCATACTTCCATTTTGAACCATCGTATGATCAAGATCTACAAATTTTGTGAATTTGATTATTCAGTATATCCGACAGTGAATGACTTGAGTGCATAAAAAGGGCAGGAAAGTGTCTACAGAGGTCAAGTAAGAAATCCCCTTTCACGTAGATTTCTATGGGATTGAAGGCCATTAATTAAAAGTAAAGTGAGTAAAGTAATTAATCTTTACAGATCATTGAGTTTCAGTTGTGCCTACTATAGATATATCTATGCCAGAAATGTAGAAGTCAGTAGCAATACCAGTAGAATTACATGATTCCCGATACCCAACTCCTTTAATAAAAAAACACTTGAACATTACAAAATTACATTATCTGTAAATAAAAGCAGTACAGAACAAGAAATGTTAAGATTTTACTTTGATAACAGGAAATGGACTGAAATGTGAGTAGCTTAACTTTAAAAGTTAAAATTAGTTCTTCACTGCCCTATGCATAGCCAAGAAAACAGTCCTCATGAACTGGAAAAATAAAAATAATCTTAATTCTAACCAATATAGAAAT